CGGTCGCCCGGGCCGAGATTGGGGGGGCGAGGTGGGGGACGGAAGGCCGATGCCTCCGTTGCCCGGCCCTCTACAGAATCCACCCCCCAAACCTCCAGGTATTTCCCTCCTTAGAGCTGGCAACCCTACATTCCCCTCAGTGCCTGTTGGTAGGCAACTAAGCTTGGTCCTGTCACCTACTTTGGCCTTTGGGAGAAAACACATTGGGGCCAATCCTGATAGGGTTGCCAACTCCAGATGGGAAATTCCTGGAGACTTGAGGGATGGAGCCTGAAGAGGGTGAGGTTTGAGGAGGGGTGGGACCTCAGACAGGTACACTGCCATAGACTCCACCCTCCAAACCAGTCAGTCCCACATAGGGAACCATTGTTGCCAATCTCCAGGTGAGGGCTGGAGAGCACTCAGTATTACAACTGCTCTGCAGAAGGGAGGGCAGAAGTCAGCTGAAGTCAAAGGGGCAGATAATGGTAGGTTGGTGGCTAGCTGGGAAGGAGATGGGGTTGCCAACTACATGCTGACAAATTCCTGGGGATTTGAGGGGTGGAGCCTGGAGAGGGTGGGGTTTGCAGAGGGGTGGGACCTCAGACAGGTAGAATGCCATAGACTCCACCCTCCAAACCAGCCATTTTGTCCTGGGTAACAATTGTTGCCAATCTCCAGGTGAGGGCTACAGATTACTCACAATTACAACTGCTCTTCAGGTAGCAGAGATCAGTTCCTCTGGAGAAAACAGTGGACTCTGTCATTATACCCTGCTGAGGTCACCACAGCAAATTGACACTGTTTGCCCAAAGCCAGAGAACTGCCCCAGAGCCTCTTTCTAGATCTCGTTGTATTGCTTTCACAACGGGCTTTACTGCTAGTTCGCAAATAAAGCAAATACAACGAAAACACTCAATGTGCTGATCTCCAAAAACACAGACAAGCACTAGCCCAGGAACTTCTCACCATTTGAAAAAGTAGGGTGCACAAAGCAATACTCTGAGGTTCGCCTACGTCTGATTTTCCCATCTGGATTTCATCTGGGGTCACAGGTAGGTCAGCTGTTGATATGTACATTGCCTGTCCTGTGTTATATAAAAAGATTGTCCTGAAGTTTCATTCAAGATGAAGGCTTCCATAAGCAG